AATGCCATTTGACAAGAAACATATTTGCCGAGTCAAGGCTGGTGCATTTTTACAAGCTCAAAATAAAAAGGGGGTAGGTTCGCTATTTTCGGGGGTTGATTTGGGTCTTGAATAGTCTTCAGAAGCACTAGAAATGTAGGAAAATCGCACAATTCTTTCAAAATATCTCAAACTAAGAATTTCACTTTCATTTCTATATCTAGTCTCATAAAAAGATGAATCGTCATTTTAATTTTCAAACGCGGATAATTTTTGACACACATGTATTTGAAGGCTAAAAATTCGATGATGAGTTGTGAACAATATTACTTATAAGATAAATTTAAATAAAAGCTCGTTTCTGAGACTATGATACGATTGGTCAAACGGATTGCGAAACCTGTCCCTTTCATTAAAATGTTGAAAATCGAAATAGATAGTGTTCAGTTGTCTACCATTGGCTGATATATATGTTTAGTGCAAAATCATTGTTTTTATAAGCCGCTTTGAAGTATTCTTTGTGCAGGTAGAATTTCTTTGACTTGCTAAACACTGACAATCGTTCCATATATACTTCTACACATTCTTGTATAAAGTGTTTAATAACATATTTATTTAGGCTTGGCATTACCATTAACATACTTTGACTAATGTTCTGGTACATCATCGATAATTATCTATTTTATAATTGATAACTTTAATAAGGCAATTAATAAATAGGGCGTAACAACAAAGAAGTAGGTTAAATTCTTTCTACCGCTTTCTACCGTTGTTCTGTAATGAAATCCCATATTGGAATAGATATAACACGCTCAAGGATCACAGGCATGTTCAAGTAAGGTCCTAAAAAACAAACTGCGATACCCATGGTATTATGATCTTGACGAAGTAAACTATACGTGGAACTGCTACAAACAATATATTATCAAAACAATTAAAACTACTGGTGTGTTAACAAAACACGATTCTTCAATTGCTCCTCTCATTGCTTAACATAACAAAGCATATCTTGACGTTTTGTAAATGAATAAGGCCAGATTATAACAAAATATTGTGATTTTAAGACAGTCTATTCATCGAATTCTACGATTATGCGCATCAGGTGTGTACATCCGCTGCCCAACATCTAAAAATAAACATTTTATCTCCCTGAAATGACAAAATTTGGGATAGGCCTACGTCCTCTAAATTTAATAATTTGGAAATTAAACGCCTTGACGTTGCTACGGGTTGATGGCAGTACGCTTTTACTCATTTGTAACATACAGCTACATACGCCAGAAAGAACATTATACCAGAATACTTGTTGCATAAAGCCGGATTTAATGATTATGCCCACGTTATTTCTATATGGAAATATATACTTTACTTTGTCTTTTTTATCTCGACTACAGTGTTTTTCTAGCGGAAATTAATTCATTATCGCTCGTTTCTCCCGTGATTATGTCTTTTGCTGAAATATATAATATTTAAATTAACACTTACAGAAATTGTGTTTGCCTTTTTTCTGAGTTTCGTGACTGTTTTATTCATATTTTTAATCTTTCATAACACGCAAGAAAAAAAACTTTATTTAGTACTATTTATATAAAAGCAAACTCTGAAGGAAATAACCTACTTTTGACTAAGGGAAGAAAAAACATTGTCGAATTTTGCTGTTATGTTGCAAATGTTGAATACTAATGTAAATACGGATTTAAAATTTTGTCTCAAAATACCCCTCAAAAATGCAGGTTGTGGTACAGACTGATTGAGGCCACAGAAAATATTAAATACTCAGAGAGAAATTAGCACAGAGAATTATCGTCGATCCCAAGAAATATTTAAAACGTATTAAGGTACAGACAAGCAAAGTGCATAAAAGGATTCCTCTAATTATAACACAAAGGTCCATTAAAAGAAAATGCGGACGAACCGCAATAACTTGGCACTTGGACTTCCAGTTGCCTATTTCC